CTTTATCAGGAGCTGTATACGAGGAGCTGGCTGCCAGTCCATCGTCACTAAGTTTTTGACCCATATATTTAACTTAATCACTTCCTTTATGTCTTGTCTTCCCTTTGCGTCATCCGTTACCTGTAAGTTCCTCCTCTGACCTCCTCTGAACTTAGTTACTTTTCTGTAGCCCACTGACATACATCGTTCATCTTGGTAAAGTTTAGAGAACTATTTTCTTGCTTTCAAACATCTTAAGAATTTATTTTGTGACAAATTAAAAGGTATAAAACGACATTACCTCAGTTTTTGCTGGTGGCACAAATCACTGCAGGATATTCTGTTGAAAACAACCCCACCTCAACCCCACTCTGTCACACTCCCGGTTCTATCCGGGTGCAGGCCAGTTTTTCTCTCTCTCTCCTCTGCAGGGATGGACGGGCAGGTGCACTACATCTGAGGTGATCACCACCCTTCTTAAGGAGCTGGAACCAGGAGGAGGGCATCAGTTCGTTAACGTCACAGCGTTGGTAACAGACCAAACCCAAGCCTAGTCCTAGTAAAAGTTAAACCTTAGTCTAAATCCATTTTCGATCCTTTTTCCGCAGAACCCTTGTTTCTGACCCCTGGACCCAGCCGTGAACCTTAGACCTTGGACCCTCCGCCTGAGATACAACCAGGAACCCGAGAAGGATCTCGGGTTAACCACCGTTCAGCCCTCCTACCTGCGATCACCTGCCTGTCCACCCTCGAACCTCCAACCAGGAAGAGAGTACTGGTCAGCACACGGACCACCAGGGACACTTCCCCCCCAAGACCGGACCACAGCCTCTCTACTAAGCCCAGAAGAACCTGACCTGACCAAACTGCTTCCAGTTCATGTCCACTGCCTTGTTTCTCAATAAAACCTCTTAAACCATCTCCAGCCTCTGTAGTTGCTATCGTCCAGAGTCACCTTCAATTATGACACACCCTGGACAGGTTGCCAGTCTGTTGCAGGGCAACACAGAGACACTCAACCATTCACACACACTCACACCTAAGGAGAATTTAGAGAAGCCAAATAACCTAACAGTCATGTTTTTGGACTGTGGGAGGAAGCCGGAGTACCTGGAGAGAACCCACACATGCTCAGGGAGAACATGCAAACAACCTTGCAGAAAGACCCCTGGCCGGGAATCAAACCCGGAACCATACCCACTGCATCACCGTGCAGCCAATGTAAATGTATACTGAATACTATGTTACAGCTGCATCTTGTGTGACATCTGATGAAATGCTTTCTAAACAGTGAGCATCCATGCAAAAGTTAACTCAGACTGATCTACCAAAGGTTTCTGTGTCTTCTCAGGCATCTTGGCAGGTCAGGTTAATGTAATGATTGCATATAAACTTTTTGCATTAAACCCAACCAACATTAATGACGGAGCTCACATACTGAGGTAGTTTTATAAACAAACAAAACTGAACATTAAAGGGATAGTTCGGGATTTTTGACATGAATCTGTATGGCATCCCCATCACCAGTGTCATGCAATCACACTGACTTACCCCTGGCAGCATCCTGTGAGCAGAGTTCTCGTCCAGCTTTGGTCAAGCCGAAAGTAGTCCGGCAGGTTTGCTAGACCCAGCGAAATAAAACGTTTCTCTTCCCAAAACATTATGTGTTCAAAAGAGTGATATTTTTGCATCCCAAAAACATTGTAGTGGAAAAAGTCACACGTCGTTATCACTTGGTCCTATTTTCTCTCTGTTCGTATCAGTGCGCGCCGTCATTCTGACAGCGAGCTCAACAACAGCCAGATGCATGTCTCATGCATCTGGCTGTTGTCAGGTTAGTAGGCCCTACTTTCAGGAAATCCTATACACTACTGTTTATGCTCTAAAAACATTCTAAATGACTTCGTTTCGAGTAAATTATGGACGCTACCCACTCAGGACACTTGGAATACATTGGACGAGCAGTATGGAGGAATATTGACACGTTTTTTGTGGACTTTTATGGACCTTTCTGCCTCGGGAGCCATAGACCTCCATTATTTGAATGTCAGCAGACAGCAAGAAGCCTCCCAGATCTCCAGATGCATTTGAGATATCAAAAAAGTACTCCAGAGTGTTGTTCAGCATGGGGGTGAGTAGAAAATGAAGGCTAATCATGTTTTGGGTGTACTATTCCTTTAAGATCCTTCTTTTTATTGGATGCCTGGATTCAAATCCAAGCAATAACCCGTCTGATTGGTAAATGCAGTGAAGGAGATCAATCTATTTTTTCAACAAATTATCTGTCTCATAACATATTTTCACAACTTGGTGACAGATATAGATTTATTTAAGAAAAGTTATATAACATAGCTTTAATCTGTATATGAGAGAGAAAAAAGAGAAATGATTGGCTTTTTTTTTCAGTTTTACACATTTTACAGAATTTTGCACATTGTACATACATAAATGTTTGTACTGTTCATGAACGGCAGAGAAAATACTATTTTGATCGACTTTGATTAATTGTTTCAAATTCTGTGATTACTACACAGAAGTACTAAATAAAGATGTTAATGTTTAGTCCAGTTCTGTGTGTTAAATATCTAGTTGTTTTTATATGAATGTGGGTCTTTTAGATCAATTTTTGTGATTTTGATCATGTTTCACATTTTACTGTCACATACTGGCGCTGGTCTTGGTCTTGACTTGGTCTCAGACCCTAAAAGTCTTGGTCTTGTCTCGGTCTCGATACACTCTGTTCTTGGTCTTGTCTTGGTCTCAGGTTAGGTGGTCTTGACCACAACACTGGCTTAGGGTGATGACATCAGTGGTGTTCTGTCCAACCAGGCAGTCTGTTGCTCTCAGGTCACTGTTTCAAGTCCACAAACTCCTTCAAGCGGATTTCCCATGGCTGCTTTGAAAATCTAGGTGGAGTCTAAGCTCATTCTAACTGAACATTTTTTTTTCACAGATTATCCCTGCAATGAATCTGACCCTGGTTTGCTGTTCATTTAAGATTCTGTTAAATAAACTGTTTAGATTTTTTTACGTCTAACAGCTTGACTATTAATATTATAATTATTTTATGATGTTATTATTATATCTACATTCGGAAAAGAGTGACTTGAGTACCTGTTCTGAAAAATGTCTGTGAATTGGAGGCATAATTGAATATTTGAGGGGGAAAAATCTCTGTGTTTTATTCCTATCAGACCTAAAACAGGAAACATTAAGTCTTAATATAACTTCATGTTATTTCTTATCGGTGAGATGGAGAATTTAAAAAACCTACATGGTTTCAGATTGATGTATTTAGTTTCAACCCTGCATGCATGGTTGCTTAGACAGTGACTGCAGGGAGAAGTGGAGGGAGATGATCTCTGGCGCCACCTGGAGGACACCTCTTAGAACTGAAGATTGGAAAGAGCAAAGCTGTTTCTTTGCAGGTGTGGAGTAATAAGGAAATAAAATTAAATAATATTCTAAAAGAAAATGGAAAAAAACTCCTTCAGACATATTGCTGATCTGCTCAGATGGAGGATGATAACGGTGTTTGAGCTAAAATCAGTTTGTTTTGGGGAACTTGTGCCTCTTCAATACTTTTTTTTCTGCTCTTAAGTCCCTTTATAAAACCAGACTCAGCTTGTGGTGTATATATTAAAAAAAGTCATTTTTAAATGTATTTTTTAATGGCCTTCTGTTGCCCACCGGTGGGCTCTTTTTCTCCTCATATGATCTTTAAGGAGTCAATAGATTACAGCTAAGGTTGACTATTAAGGTTCAGCTTGATGCAGAACCGTAGAGTCATTTTTGTCTCCGGAGACCACGGATTCTGCGAATTAAAACTGTGATCCTGTCTCAATACAACCAAAGCTAACAGTGCAAAATCTTCATTTTAAATCACTGTTGAAATAAAACTGTAAAGGTGGAAAAAAATGCAATGTCTGTCATGCATTTAGGAGTTAAGTTATTCAGTGATTTATAGGCTCACAAAATAATTTAACAGTCTTTCCTCTGAGATACAGGGAGCCAGTGGAAGGACTTCAGAACTGGGCTGATGTTCTCGATGTTCTTAGTGAGGACGCAGGCGGCAGCAGTCTGGATCAGCTGCAGCTGTCTGATCCGCTTTTTAGGCCGACCTTTTGAAGACGCAGCTGCAGTAATCGATTCTACTAAAGATGAACGAAGCAGGAATGAGTTTTTCAAGGTTTTGCTGAGACATCAGTCCTTTAATCCTGGAGATGTTCTTCAGGTGATAAAAGGTCTTTAAGAGCCTCTGTCTGGTCTTAGTCTAGCACTTTACACAGATTTAGAGCCTAATTGGTGGTTTCTTGCTGGATTTACGGAAGCTGTGTGCTGACCTCAGAACGCTCGTCTTTAGGTGAACAAATTATTACCCCAATTTTGTTTTGATTAATCTGGAAAAAAAACAACTTGTGTAGAATCCTTCTCTGCTTTTACCCAGAGCTGGAATGGAATACAGAAACATTGGGCTTAATTTAAAGTTTGTTTAATAAAAAAAATTATTTTAATTCAAGAAATCAACCTTATCATAATATATATTCTGATTTGCTCTATATGACCTCTGGGTCGATACTCTTTAAAGAAATAAAACTATTGTTAATGTCATTTAAGTAAACAAACTTTCTGATTTACATGCATTTCTTTTTTTTTTTTAGCTTATTTTGAATAAATAGCAGAAAGAAATCCAAGAAATTATTTTGTAATCATTAAAAGGTTTATTGCACTGAAGCCCTTTTTTGCACTGATTGTATTGAAATTAATTATACTGGTTAAAAGAAAACATCAGATTTGATCTTTCTGCATAAAGCCTGTCTTCATTCTATTGTTTCTCTTTTTCAATGTATTATACTCTCTAGTGCACAAATAAAAATGTATTGTTTTAAAGACTTTTTTACATTCTATAAAACATATAGAGATGTTTGACCAAAAAAAAAATCACTTGGCAAAGATCCCTTTTGGACTTCTCAACCTAAAAGTAACAAACAAATCTTGTTTGCAAACTGTTTAATAACTGCTTAGCAAAACTGAATCAGCTCCTTCATGCTGCATCCTTTCTCGCAGCAAATGTCGGATATTTTTCCAGCAGATCGTCGGATTCGAAAGGTCAGAGGGTGCCAGTGAGGAGCCAAAGAGGAGGCGCTTCTCTCCTCCTCAGAGTGAGGGGGAGGATGGGGTTTCTCTGTAGCCTGGTCCTCCTCAGCGGAGGCATCCCGGTTCCCTGTGCAGAAAGTAAGATAAGTTCATGAAGTAAAACTTGAAGCTGTGGAAGCACATTTCTGCCACTAGAAAATACATAAAAATAAAAAGATGGCAGCTAGTATGTAAAATGAGATTTAAAGTCATCATTTACTGAGAGTTATAAAAAAAAAATCTGATTTTGAAAGTCGATAATATAATTTTGTGTCTCATAGTTAGGACTTTGAAAGTTGAAATTGTGACTTTATATCTCATATTTTTTAACTTAAAGGTCAAAATTAGGACTTAGTGTCTCATAATTAGTACTTTGAATATCATAATTATGTTTTTAATAATTATGTTTTTTATGTTTGAAAAAATCAAAATCTAGATAAGTCAATTTTTCTTAAAATAAGTAAATTTGTTCTTGGACTGAGGAGATAAAAGAGACATTTTGCCAATAGAACAAGACAATTTACACTTAAAATAAGAAAACACAAATGCATTGTCTTATTTCAAGCGCATTTTATGTAATTATCTTATTTTAAAAGTAAAAATAATCATTCCATATGCAAACTAAACCTGCATACCTACTCAAAATAAGGGTAAGTACACTTAATTTAAGAATTTTTTACTTATTTCTAAATCGTTTTTCCAGCACTGAAAAATACACTGCAAAAATGGTCTAGAAGTAAGTAAAATGTCTTAAATCAAGCATATTTACCCTTCATTTTAGTAGGTAAATGGGATCATTTGCCAATGGAATGAGTATTTTTACTCTTAAAATAAGATTATTAGATATTATGCACTTGAAATAAGACAATGCAGTTGCTTTTTCTTATTTTAAATGTAAATTGTCTTGTTCCATAGGCAAAGTATCTCACTTACCTCCTCAATTCAAGAACAAATGCACTTAGTTTAAGAAAAAAATGACTTATTTAGATTTCCATTTTTTGCAGTGTATAATGCAGCCCTTTTTAGGCATTTACTTGATCATATTTAGTTACCTTAACACAACTGTTTCATGTTAGCCGGGTAGGACATGAAACAATTGTGTTAAAGTAAGTAAATATGATTAAGTAAAGGCCTAAAGCGGTTGCATTATTTTTTCCAGTGTGCCATTTTTTTAAGTATCTTAAACAGTGGAAATGGGCTTTCACAGAAAGCATCTTACATTTAAAAAAATAAATAAATAAAACAGAGGACTTACAGCCAGCGGTGAGCTGCTGTTGGCTCAGCTCTGTGTCCAGGATGCTTCTCCTCAGCCGAGAGTTCCCACAGGATGACACGGCCAGACGGATCAGCTCTCGCCCGCACATCTTAATCCTGTCCTGCGCCTGGGCTGGATACGCTGCGGCCAGCAGCACCACCAGCAGACATGGCAGCAATTTAGCAGCAGCCATTGTATGACGTGCAGATGGTTGGTCAGCCGAGGCCCAAAGAAAAGGCGTAGAAGTTACAACAAGTGAGGCTGGCTGGGTTGTGACGTTTTGAACAAATTTGAAGGGGTTTTTATATAGTTAGTGAGAGTCACTGGTTAGCTGCACTTAAAAAAAAATGCTGAGTGCAGCGGGTTTTTCAAAAGATGTATCCGGCCTTGGTGATGGAAAAGGATGTTCTGAGCAGCAATTAAGTCCCAACCTCAAGGCTTAAACTGTCATTAAGATAAAACCCTGATAATTTTTTTCCACGAAGTGACTTTATTTGAAGGAAAGACATGTTTACTCCGTATCTTTAGCATCTCGAAGGATGGCAGCTAATGTGAGGAGAGAGACGTACTTGGAAAGAGGATGTCAAGGATCCTGACGCAGCCCAGTCACCTACGGCCATGCTCCAGCTGGTTAATCATATCAGTGATGACTGATGCATGTAGCAGGATGGGGGGAAAACTGCAAACAGTGGAGGATTCGACACATGCAAAGTGCTTTCATTTGTCTTAGGGCTCAAACGTGAAGTAAATCCACCAACTTTAGCATCCAGGGGTGCTAACATTTCTAAAGGCAGTTAACTCTACAGCTGCTGTTACATAAACCTCTATAATAGGACTCCAGGTCCTTTACTCATTTCATTCATCTTTAAACTAGTGGCCCACAGGGCTGCTGCATCCCAAAAGGTTGGCTTAAACTTTTCTGATTGAATAGTAGAGCTGTTTTGGAAAAGCTTTGCTGTCCTGTTCCAACACCAACTGATGCTCAGGCGCAGACTTAATATGGAGATGCAGATTATGCAGATATCTGATTTATGCCAAATATACTGGAGATACTTTTCGTTTAATCTCACTTCTTTGAAAACATTTTCAAACCAAGTCCATTAAATAGAATTAATAAACCTCCCAGAGGTTGATTAGTTTGATTTATTTATTTCCAGTCCATCACTTTTTTTTTTTACTAAAACCTGTTATTGTTAGTAAGGTGTTTTAAGATCTTACATTTTTTTATCAGACACTTGCCTTTTTGTAAAGCGTCTCTTTCAGTTGAATCAGTGAAATTGGTTATTAAAACAAATACTGATTCAACTTTTAAAAAAAATAAAAAATTAGCAACCAGTAATATGATAAGGTGTTGAACTCAGTACTGTCAGGGCTCCAGTCTGTGTGTTTGTTTTTGTGTTTTTCTCCCTTCCACCAACAGGAGGCGTCTGGTTCCGGTTCGCCTCCTCACACACCTGCTGACGGTTACCTCATTAACGGAGTGCTCTTAAGCTAATGATTGCCACTACCTCAACGCCAGAGTGTTTACCAGTTTTTGGTACTCTAGCCAAGCAGAGTTTTCTCTGAGTAAGACTGAGTTCTTGTCTCCCTGAGTTTTAACTTCGCTTTTTGTCTTTGCCTCTCGGCAGGAAGTCATCCTGCAAACTGGACCTTTTCGGACCTCCTCGTCTAAACTGAGCCAGGGATTCAAACAGGAGGTTTGGATCCAGTCTCATTTGAGGACGTTGAAATTACTCTCTGAGCAAGGGAATCATCTTCACCACGACACGTTCAAGTACAGCAGGAAATCTGAGTGGCAATCAGCGTCTCCGTTCACCTACACCATCCGAGTTCTGGGTAAACCCTGTTCCGCCCTCCACCGAGTCAGACAGACTCTGGAAAACCAACACACAGATTGGAGTCAAGGATCCTTCACTTCTCTGGAAACGTGAGTCAACAACCAGATCCTCTGCTTCTAATCAACAAATAAAATTTCCCACTGATCCTGAACTAACAGTCTGTCTTCCCCTCATCTTCCAGTTCCGGCCGAGCAGAGTTCAGGGAGACTTCAATAAAACCCGTCAAACTTTTCATCCGTGTCTCTTTGTTTGGACTTCTGCATTTTGGGTCAGACCTTTAATTAAATCATGACAAGTAGTAAGTAATCCAATTCGAAAGTTTTATTATTTTGATATAGGTCTATGAAAATTCAAATTTTTTTATATAATATTAGTTTCAAAATGTACATTTATAGAAGCTGATGGTTTGAAAGCCTAAGCAAGACATCATATATAGTTTAAATCATATCATCCTTTCAGAATGTATGTAACAAAGCAATAATAAATGTTTTTCAACAGAAAGAAACAGACTACCTCACTAATTAAATGTAAATGATGAATAATTGACTAAAAGAACATATTTTGTTCCTTATCTGAAATCAGAACTTCTTCATTTTAAGTCCAGTTAAGAAGAAGAGGATTTTTCTAGATGCTGCTTTATAAAAATGAGAATAAACAAGGTGATCAGCTGATCATATGATGACCAAAAATAAGCTTTACTCAACCTCATGATCTGCTCCGTTAGAAAGTAACAAACAGTTTTTGCTCACTTTGTAAAGAACAGGCTGAACAGATGGAGAGCCATTTCCGTTGAATTTAAATTAATGATTAAATATTGTAATAAATATTCAATTAAATGAATAATATGTAGCCATTAAAATTGACAAGATATGCCTTAGATAAAAATATTTGTAACTAAATTTGTAATTTGTTTAGTCCTTTTATGTCCTTCAAAATCCATTTGTCTATTTTCAATTATTTATGTTTTGATACATTTTCCTTAAAAATCTGAATTTATTTAATGAGAAATATATTTAGTTGTTATTTTTATTTTTTTCATTTATTTATTAAATATAATTAAATTCAGTTTATTTATATTGCGCCAATTCACAACACATGTCATCTCAGGGCAATTTAAAGAGACCATACTGTCAGGTTGGTTATAAAACTAGTTTATTCCATCCAGTCATAGATTTGCAAGACATGCTCATCCTTGATGAACCTGCGGTGACGTTTCACGTGATTTGACTGACTGTTCAGCAATCCCTCACACCAAGCATGCATGTAGTGACATAGGAGAGGAAATACTCCCTTTGAACAGGAAATATTCCAGCAGAACCAGGCTCAGTGTGAGCGGCCATCTCCTGAAGCCGACTGGGGTTCAAGGAGACAGAAGCAGACATAGAAAAAGAAGCATAGATACAAAAGGCAGCTGCAGAGATGGGAAGTAACGAAGTACAAATACTTCGTTACTGTACTCAAGTAGATTTTTCTGATATTTTTACTTTACTTTACTACTTATTTTTATGGCGACTTTTTACTTCTACTCCTTACATTTTTACACAAATATCTGTACTTTCTACTCCTTACATTTTAAAAAATTGGCTCGTTACTTTAGCTTTGAATCATTTCAATGGAGTTACCGTTATTATTTTTCACGTCATCGATACCAAATTCAATCTAATTGGACGGGAATCTACGTTGCATTTGACACACCACTACAAGATGAATCGACAGATTCGGCGGTATTCATTGGCGGCAAATCATTGCAGCTTGGTGGCGGTGGCGTTAGCATAGTAGCATGGACGACGAGATGATTGAAAATGAACACAACGGAGATCTAGTCCTATTGGCAGACATCCATTTAAAATGTAGGCAACGGCATGAAAAAAGTGGTTTCTACTTTTACTTTTATACTTTAAGTAAATTTGCAAAAATGTACTTTGTTACTTTTACTTGAGTGAAGAAGTTTAATCAGTACTTCCACTTTTACCAGAGTATTTTTTAACACAAGTATCTGTACTTTTACTCAAGTACGGAAAGTGAGTACTATTCCTTACATTTTAAAATGTAAGGAATAGAAAGTACAGATATTTGTGTAAAAATGTAAGGAGTAGAAGTAAAAATTCGCCATAAAAATAAGTGGTAAAATAAAGTAAAAATATCAGAAAAATCTACTTGAGTACAGTAACGAAGTATTTGTACTTCGTTACTTCCCATCTCTGGCAATAACTATATACATAAATATTAATATCCATCTTTATAAATACCTATGTAACCAACTAGTACAATAACCCGGTATAATGATCCTATACTGCAAAAAATTTAAATGTAAATAAGTCATTTTTTCTTGAATTGAGGAGGTAATTGAGACACTTTGCCAATGGAACAAGACAATTTACACTTAAAATAAGAAAACACAAATGCATTGTCTTATTTCAAGTGAAAATTATCTAATTATCTTATTTTAAGACTAAAAATACTCATTCCATTGGCAAATTATCTTATTTACCTACTCAAATTAATGGTAAATGCACTTAATTTAAAACATTTTTTTCTCATTTTTAGATGGTTTTTGCACTGTACTATGAAAACATTTTTTTTAAGCTGCACTGGAAAAAAATCAAAATCTAGATAAGTAAGTTTTTCTTAAAATAAGTGCATTTGTTCTTGGATTGAGGAGGTGAAGGAGACATTTTGCCAATGGAACAGGACAATTTACATTTAAAATAAGAAAACACAATTTCATTGTCTTATTTCAAGTGCATATTATCTAAATATCTTATTGTAAGAGTAAAATTGCTCATTCCGTTGGCAAACCATCTCATTTACCCGCTCAAATTAAGTGTAAATACACTTAATTTAAGACGTTTTTTACTCATTTTAAGACATGTTTTACTAATATTTAGATTGTTTTTGCAGTGTGTCATATGTGGATGTACTGTATATATCTCATGCACATTTTCTTCCTTTGGCACCTTCTTCTTCTTTGACTATTTGAGCTGATGTAGTGAGTAAATTTGTCTAGTGTGACATCAATAAAATCAATGAATCAATCAATCATGCTCTATCTCACCTACCCCTCTACGCACCATGTATTTAATTTAATTCTTAATGCTGTTTTATTTAATTCTAAGCCTTTAGAAGACAACATCATTGGCTTACCATCCTGGGTAAACTCCCTCCATACCTGTGCACTGATAAAACAATCTAGAAATAAGTCAAAATTTCTTAAATTAAGTGTATTTACCCTTAATTTGAGTAGGTAAATGAGATAGTTTGCCAAAGGAATGAGTATTTTCACTCTTAGAATAAGATAATTAGATAATATGCGCCTGAAATAAGACAATACAATTGTACTTTCTTATTTTAAATG